CCTAATTGCATCTGCAGTGCTACAACCAGCCAAGAGTAAGTGCAAGGAGTTAGGTGAAATTCAAACCAACTGAAATCAGGAGTATAATGGCATCTGGGCCTAATGTCATGCGCCTTTTCTCCAGTACATGTTTGCCTTAGGAGTAATAGGAAGTTGGATCTTGCTCTTGTATATTTCTTTAGTAATACAAAGTCATGATTCCTCTCCTTTCCTTAAGAAGGTGTTGAATTTTCCTCCAGTGGAAGATTGACTTCCACTTCAGTGTGTCTTGATACACATTTTCCTTGGTTTTTACTGAGTGTAATCATTGACCAGTGGACTTTAGATGCTCTTTCTTTGACAGAGATGAGAAGAAACAGGGAGGAAAACAGCTGATCTTTAAAAAGGAACAGCATTTCTAGGGAATGCTTCAAGTAGCATTTTACAGCACAGAGAAAGAGAATTTATCACTCTAGTGCAGTCCTTCCCTGTTCTCTCTAGCCTGAGAGGTACAGAAGGCAAGTGTGCCATTCATTGAGCCTTGCCCTCATCACTTAAAGTCAGCAGGAGCATAACACCTGGCTCTTCTTTGTGAACATCAAGACCTGCCAGTCCCCTTTCCCCTTAATATCCCTGAAAGATCTGTGCTCATTCACCCATTTTTGGGGGCTGTGGGTTGGCTTTTAAAGGAAGACCACATAAGGAAAGAGCAAATTATGTTACATTTTCAGTAGAGCTGTGCTCATTTCAAATCAGAATGGAATTTAGGCTTAGGACCTTATGTCAGTGCTGTTCAAGAGCCAACATTTTCCACAGGCACATGGCAGAGGATGTGCTTGCCTCATCTCCTGCTCAAAATAGAGATGAGAAATTTAGCATCTTTCTTTTATGATGTCTGTTCTGTCTGGTAAGGTGTTGAGTGACAATTGCTGATTGCCTTTAGCTCGTGTTGGCTTCGCTGTGACATAGTTCCTGATATACACCAGTGTTCCCAAACACACTTCAGGACTCACTTCAAATATCTGGTCCAATTGAAAGTCAAGAAGTGGTTTAGTTTAAGCTGGTCAAGTTCTGTGAAACAGAGTAAATATAAAATTTTATTTAAAGCCATAAATCCCGCCTTGAAGTTGATTGATGCATATGTTCTTTGTTTTGCTTTTCAGAAACCAGAAATGTCCTGCAATGTATCCCTCATGCCTTTTGTAATGCAGGTCTCAAGCCTGGATATATTTTGTGGAGCACATTGAAATCTTCTAATGAGACTGACCTGTACTTCTGGTCTGACTGGCTTGCTGGCTAGAGTTTACATGTCTGCTGCTCTTGGTCTGTGAAATACTATATTGAAATGGAAATTGCAGTGCCCTAATTTTTTTGTGCCTCTAGTTCTTATTTTCAAAAAGTGTTAACTTTCTCCCATGAACACAGGTGCCTAGAGAATGCTCATAACATATCATTTCAGTGCTTTACCACTCATTTCTTTCTCTCTCTGTGCCACAAGCTGACTTCTAAGATATATGTTGAACTGTATCCCAGACAGTTAGATATTAGACAGTTAGAATTCCAGGGCAGAAAGAAGTGCAGTCATCACGGTAAATCAATATCTGGTGAAAGAACTTCAGTATTTGTCACTTGTAAAGGACAAATAGTGGCTCTATTTCCTACATTTGTTGGCATTCTTTTTCAATAGGTGAGTTTTAAACTCCGTCCGTACCTGCCATCCGTGCAGGCAATACAGTGTGGCCAACATGGTACAGCTTGGTGTGAAGTTGTTGGTCTGGTCCCCTTTGCACCTGTCCATGAGACAGCATCACGTGCCTCTGAGCAGAGAACCCGCTTTAGAAATTGCCTGTAAATCTCACGTTGTGAAATTTATGCTAAGAAAGGAAATCTTCCAAAGAAACTTTTTGCCACTCGGTGATTTCTTCCTACCTGTGTGCTGAGGTATATCTAGAGTCAGAGAAGGGAGAATCTTTGCTAACTGTTTTTGAAATAGTTTTAATTGTGAAGTACACTTGAAATGGAAGGTGTGTTTGTTCAAATCCACATTTCTACCCTGTTCTTCAGAGGTCTACAGATTCTTCACTGACTGGTTGGCACCTTGTACCTTCTTATTTCTGAAGAATATAACACCTCAGATTAATTTTTTGACCTCATCCTTGGATGACTCACAATATTCTTTATTCTTCTCATTTTTTTATACCTTTAAGCGGAAAAGAACGCTTCCATGAGTTGAAAGATCTGGGTCTGGTTTAGATTAAAGTGTTTTTGTTTTTTTCTTACTAGTGCTTCTTACTATTTGAATGGTGGTTGTACTTCAGGAAAGCAGTGCTTCTTATCCTTAGTACACAGTAAAAAAATTGCTAAAGTTATTGGTTCAAGCGTGAAATAAGCCAATAGGCAGATATAATATTTCTGTTAATTAGTTCTTCCTTCTTGATTTATACAGTGTGATTGAAACTGAAAAGAACTGATTATTGTGAAGATACCTGAATAAAGGGAGATCCCTTTTAGCCTTTGCTAGTTAGAGGAGTTTTGTCCTCATCCCACCTTTATGCAAGAGCAAGATTCAAGGCTTCCTGTGACTTCTTGTTGAGTCTTCCTATAGAATGAAATTTCATTAAATGTAGTTTCATTTTCTCATTAAAGTAATAGCTGTGTATCTTGCATCATTTCAAGTGTTCTCCTGGATTATAGGGTAAATGATCTGCTGATCTCCTTCTGATTGTTCAAGTTACTCAAGAGCTAAAACCCAGATGACTCTTTGCTTAGCTGATGTTAAGATTCAAGGAACTGAGACGGATGGACTGCAGCAGCCTGCGCCAGTGTGGTTACTGGCTGCTCCCCTCCTGCCTGGTCAGTCCTTCCTACCCTTTCTGCTGGAGTCCTGGCTTCTCCCTCACACTACACTCCCTCCCTCACCTGACCCTGTCCTGTGTGATGGCAGAGTCAGAGTAAAGCTATTTGCCTTTTTTAGTAGTTCACTTTTCTGCTGCCTTAGTACACTGAGGTGGCTCAGCACAGATGAGTGGAGGAGGCAGTACGTGACAGGGAGTGAAATCAGGAGAATATGACAAATGTTGTGCCCCCTCATGAAACCACAGCTTAATGTAGATGTGGTGTGTGTAGACACAGATTGGACAAAATTTCATTAAAAGTACCTCAGAATTGAAGAACTGTGCCAGAAGTTTTAAAATGCTGAATTGCAGAGAGCATTGCCTTGTTGTCTTCTAAGAAATGCAGCATCTCAAAAGGCTCTGCCATGCACAAAATGCAAGACTTTGTGTGTTTAGGATTCCCCAGTGGCCAGGCTGTAAGGCTGAAGAACAGGATAGCACAGAACAGCAGCACTAAACATGGAGGATGCTGCTATGACGTTACGCTCCCAAACCAGAGGGCAGGAACATCCTTGGGGAGACAGGTACTCAGTAATGTCATACATTTTCGAAGGCACAGGTAACATCCATTCTTGAGAAGCGCTGAGCATGGTATGGCCCTGCACCTCAAAGTCCTGTCTTCCCTGCCCTATATCTGTTTCAAAGGTGGAGGAGACAGTCTTATGCTAGTGCAGAAGCCTGCAACTGGCTTGGACTGAGCATCACTTACAATGCTAGTACCCGCTGCTCAGGCTGCCACAGTAAAAATAAAGGAGCTGGACTAGATCTAACAGTAACTTAGCCACTTGTGCAGGAAAGCATCCCAGAGCATTGACTTTTCTCTTTGGAGCCACCTTTCTGAGATGGTTCACTGTCATGATGACACACGATTTGGATGAGGCTTGGACACGGGGACAAGTTCTGATGAAGCTCATGTGAAGTTCTTATGTGTGTATAGAGCTTTTGGTTGCCCTTGAGGATGCATATGTTTAGCCTGTCCACTTAGAGCCAAGCAGGTGAAACTCGGTTGAAGTTACAGCAGGGAGAATCTAAGCTATGTTGTTTTGGTGTTGATTGTTGTTTTTTTTTTTCCCCCCCCCTTTAATCTTAAGGAAATTATTCTGATAATGGATGCAGTTGGTTAGAAGTTTGGAATATGAGTGTACAGGAAGGGATGGTGTAGTCTTGAAGTTCTAGCTTCCTCAGGTATTTTTTTAATGTCTCGGAGAAATATGTAAAATGTGAATCATTACTGCTCCTGGCTGTCTTTGGGTGAGCTGAAACTTCCAGTGACAGAAAGCACACATTGTTATAGTCTGTAATAAGAAGATACTTGGGTATGCCCAAGGTAGGTTTATTTTTATCACCCAGGCTAGCCAGGCTGGTAGAAGCAGCAAGACTGGTAAAATAAACAAGTAGTATTAGATTAAAAAAAAAATAAAATAACTTTTGTCCTTTGCAAGCCTACAACTGAAAGAAGTTGTACAATAATGCTTTAGAGTTTTATGTGACAGTGTAAACATACTCAAGCTTTATAACTGTTGTATGGGGAGTGGGGTGATTTAATCAATTCTTCCAAATGTTTATATTATTTCCTACGATATTACCTCATAGTCTGCTTATACTTCTGCTCTGGAGGTGGTAGAAAAGGAAGGGTGAAACTATTAGTGCAGTTGTACCCAGGTCCTCTGATTCTGCATGTGAGAAGTCTCACTAAAAGGAAGTAAAGGTACATGTGTTCATGCCCACCTTCATTTTTACAGCTTTCAGTGATATCCTTCTGAAAGTTTGTGAGGTTTACGTGCATCAGTTGCTGGTGCAACTCCTGGCATTCTTTGCCTCTTCTCTTTTTCATACCTTTTGTATTCTACATACAGACTTCTGGCTGGATTCCTGAGGCTGAAACTGCTGCTTCTGTTCTGGCAGTTTTCTCTTTCCTCACTCTTAATGGTTGCTTTAGCTCATTTAACAGCAAATTTTGAAGTATTATTACCAGTCTCGTTACTTGGTCATCCGCTTAGTTGGGACCATCAGATTTACATTAGATATTTGTCTTCTGTTTCTAAGTGCCATTTTGTTGTTTAAAGTCATCTCCACATTCCTCTGTGCACTACTGTAAAAATCTTTAATGTGCCCCTTGTCTTTCAGATCTCACTGCTGGTTGGATTCATCAGTGTAAACAATTCTCCATGGACAGATTACAGTGCATACAGCTACTTCCAGATTGTCACCATGTGCGATTTGGTTATGATTTTGTTCTTCTACATTATCCACATTTTCAAAATCTACAGGAAGCTCACTTGTGTTAGCTGGCCTCTTGCGGTAAGCCTGTTAGATTGTCTGGGTTCCTTGTCTTTCTTATAGATTGATGTCTTTGTTACTTAGTCCATTTTCTTGTGCTGTCACACAGCGATAGGTTGTCTTTCACATAAATCTTTGTGCCTTGTACATGAATCCTTTTGTTGCTTTTAGTTCATCAGATGTTGTTTTTTTAAGTTTTTTAGCTGATTTGGATCTGATCCTGCCCTCCGTTACACAGATGTAAATCCAGATTTACTCCAGGGAAGGCAATACACAATAGAACAATAGTTCTGAGACAACTGAAAAGAAGCTACTATTATCAAGCTTTCAGCAGATGGGTCGTAGCTCAGGTCATTTATAACACCTAAGAGATTGCTACAGTACCAAAATACAGCATGAGAATTCGTGTACTACATCCTGTCCCAAAATAAAGTCTACGCGTGCTATTTAAGTCAAATGTGTCTCTTTAAGGTATGGTTTGATGTAACTTAGACAATAGCGAGAAATTGGAGCCTTAACCTGATTGCCTTAGCCTGGCTATTCCTGCAGGATGTTCCTGCTTCTTTCCCGTGTTTCCCCTGCAGATCCATCTCTTCGATCCTAGCAGAGAACTATTAAGCAGCACAGAAAACGCGAGACCTGAACTTCCTCAGTAGCTTTAGGTCAGGTCAGCTAACAGAAGAGTCCTGCATCCTAGTGTGGGGTGACAGATTTTAATAACCTCTTAGAATATGCCTCCCTTACACATAGTGCCATGTTAATCCCACAGAAGAAGGACCAAAAGCATGGGGAAAGACAACTGGAGAGATACAGAGGAATCTTGAAATCCAAGAAGTGTTTGGATGGTGTTTAATGGAAGCTATGTAGGTAGTTTACAGATCTAAGATAATGGTTTGTCCATCCACCCACTTCTAACTTTTTAGCTGAAGAATATGGTTATGCCCCTTTTTATTTTTTGAGATGTGTCCCCCTATTATCTGTTTCTGGAAAGTAGTTTATCTAGAGAGAATATAGGTGCAGGGATTGAAATAAGATATTAAATGATAGTTTTGCAGAACAGCATTTGAATGTGTGCGTTGCTGTAACAGGACTATGCCGTTTTGACCTCTGCACAGGCTGCTTTTGTTTTCTGTTGTGTATTTAAACACTCCCAAATGTTACAGAGTCACAGGTGAGTTTAAAGCACTGCAGTTTGTGACTGCTAGTAAAGCTGTAACGATTCAAGAGGTTGTTCAGCACTAACACCACTTAAGGCTGGGAAGTATCTCTGCAGACGGACAGTGTGTCCTGGCCCTGCCAGGGCTTGGTTCTCCACCTGATTTAGCCTTTGATGGTTCTTTTGCACTTTTACCCATCCTTTAGATTCCTCTCAAGTAGTGGCCTGTGTACACTGCTTTATTTGGTGTCTCTGGGGAGGCAGTGGCATGCCTAATTTGCCTGCTGCATCATGGCTTAGCCAGAGAAGACTCCTTACAGAAGTAATTTACTCTAGCAAAAGCAAGGGTTGAGATCTTGATTACCTGAAACAAGGTTACAGATGGGGAAAGTAAGTTGCAGTCTCAGAGTCTACTTCATGCCAAGATCCTCCTCAGCTGTTTCTAAACACCTGAGCAGAGGGGAAATTGTGGTATCGTACAATAGACTATTTATCTTCTGGGATTTCCTTGAAGAATTTCCTTTTGGGACTATATTCTCTCTCCTTTGGTTTGACGTGGAGTCTCTGCTCTCCTCATACACCCTAGCATGCAAAAGAAACAACACATTTTCAGTTTTCAAACACTCATAAGATTTGTGAGGATTCAAAATCTAAATCCACAGGTAACTCCTGATTATTACAAGGTATAATTGACTCCTGGACTGATACCTGTCACACTAGAGGAGAGGTTAAATGTGGTACCTGAGTGCTCTCTCAGAAAAACCCATAGCGTCATGTTTTACAGCTGACAGTGACAGCCACACTTACAGATTTGGGCGCCTGGGTGTGGTTACGTGTAGCTGTGCTTTTTGTGGCTTCCCGCCTGTTTCCAGGTTTGCTCGATGTAAGTTTTTAGTACATCCAGCAATAAATAACTGCTTACTTTCTAAGATTATTAGAAGTAGGAGCATTTGGTTTTCCACTGATGCCATTTACTGCCATTTATTGCCATTTCATATGACTTCTAGAAGTATACCCTTAAGGCTTCTTCCTTCCTCCAGACCTGTCTTCTTAAGTAAGGTGCATACTTGATGCAGAGAAGATAGGCTTTTACCTTCAGTAATGTTCCATGTTCAAATTAAAGGATTGCATCCATAGCCAGTAAGTAGATCTTATTCCAGTGACATTAGTAGGTCTGAAGATTGTCCCTCTCTCCTTTTTTGAGCAGAAAGCCAAGAAGGGTACAAAATGCACTCAGGAGGAGTCTTAAAATCTTTTTATCTTTTAGCCTGCTTTTTTTTTTGACTGATGTTTTGTCGTCTGGGTTTGAATAACCTCTGCCAACTTGTTTTCATGATGAGGCATATCAAAATGCTTTCTGGTAAATCTCCCTCCTGATGCAGGCTGTGCTTCTCTTTACAGGAGTTTCTTCATTATTTAATCGGTACAATTCTGCTTCTTATTGCATCAATTGTAGCAGCATCCCAGAGTTACAATTTGACTGGACTTGTGGCTGGAGCGGTAAGACTGTGTTTATTAGTCTTCACACTCTTTTTCATGCCATATATATTAAGTAGGGCATTGGAAATCTGGTACTTGTAATTTTATTTTCTTACAGACTTGCCTTGTTTGTGTCTTGGCTGGGTGAACTACTTTCTAGCTTATTTAAATGGATGTTCTGTAACACAACGCCAACAAAATATTTTGTTGTGAGACTCCAGACTCACCGCAGAAGTGGGTATTTCTCCTGTCAGGAGTTGAAACCACAGGCTCCTGCTTTAACTTGTAGGAACTAATGTGTTTAGGGGAAGAATTAAGACAACTCAATTTTAACTAATGGCTGTTGCAGCAGCCAGAAGTTACATAAAAGGTTTTACCCCAGTCTTTAGGTTTTGATGCCTTCTGTTCCTGAACAGAGCCCTGTTCAAGATAATTTCTCCTGAGCTAGAACCCACTGGGGTCCTGGGCTGACTTACTGGAAGTTACTCTCTGCTTCTGTTGGCTGAAGAGCTTTATAGAGAGAGTCATAGCTTCTGAGTGTGGGCAGCAGTTTCACAGCACCAGGACCTGAAATACAACTCCAGAATAAAGAATTACTTTCAGAAACTTAGTCCTGATAGTGCAAACAGACCAGAACACTTACCTGACCTTTTTATTTGGCAGATGACAGGGAAGGGGTTGTCTGAATAAGGCAGTAAAAGAGCAGTAATCAGAGGTGTTAGAAAAAGTCTTGTCTTTGTTGCAGAGCCCTAGGGAGAAGTCTAAAAGGTGAGACTCAATGCAGTCCAGCTTTTTCTCTGCCTATGTATATGACTTTCAGTCGTTGTTTTGACAAGACATAAACTGCTATTATACTATGGAAACTTTTTGTTTGTATTTTTTTTTAGTATAGAACAAAGCAAAATAGTATCAGTTTTGGGTCTGTTAATGTCCTAAAATAAGTAGCTGGATATACAAGAGTGTCCATACATTCATAGAATGTGTGTCATCTGTTGTTCTTTAAGTATTTGTGGTTTGTTTGTTTTCTCATCTAGACTTTTGGGTTCCTAGCTACAGTCCTTTGTGTTTTAAGCATGTGGTCATCCTACAAGGTTTCGTGCATCACACAGTCAACAAGTAAGTAACTGCCAATATGCTTCCCAAAATTAATATTTGTATTTTCTGCCACAGGACTGCCTACCTAGAAGGATTTCTTAACATTCTGTTCGTTGTTACTCAGAAATACAAGGCAATAATTCCATCTTTTCTGTCAACACAGACATATCACAGCTACTGACTGCTGTTAACAACTAACTAAAAAAGCAAAATAACTTGGTTTTAGCAAGTAGTGAATGTATCAGTGCTTTTTCTTCTCCCTCCACCACCCCCTAACAAAAGGAAGTTTCCTCCTTAATCAAGTAGATGAATTTGTTTGTGGCAATTCAAGTGACACTGTCTTCCTTTTCAAAGGTGCATCTGTATGACTCCTCCATCTCTGCAAGATACCTGCCTTACAAAATAGGATACCAAAGAGGAGCGCCCACTGCTGAGGAGGGAGCAAGGTTTTTTTGTTACTAGCCTGGACAGCTGGTAGCTTTTGAAGATCTACGTGAATGCCTATGCAAAACAATGTTGTGAACCAAAATTCTTTTGCTTACCAAACTCCCCTGTCCCAAAGAAGTTTATAACGGAGAACCTGCTGTTTATGAGCTTTACAGAGGAAGACAATGTCTGTCTCACCAGCTAGGCTATGGCCATTTCCAGCTATTTGCACTAGGTGCATTGAAAACTTATTTGGAGAGTCATTTGGTACTCCTTTCAGAGGGATGAAAAATTGCTTCTGATTTCCTCCATTTGTTTACAGAAGGGAAATCCTGCAAATTCCTACCTGATTCTTACTTCCAAGGATGATTTGTTTAATGAAGGAAGTGTTACAGACTGATTTGTGCCTGGATAAACTGACCCAAGTCTTTGTTACCTCTTTCTACCAGAATTGTGGACTTTTTCTAACATCAGCTCATCCAGCATCAAGAACTATGAACTGCGACTTGAAAATGTCACTGCAAACACTCCCTCCTAGACCCAACAGTACATGATGAAATCAGTTTTTTTTCTCCATGAATTTTTACAGGTTATTAACAATCAAAGGTTATTTTTGAAAAATTCCCTCTGCAAATACAGAAAAATATGTATCCAAGAATGTGTTTAAAGTTTTGTGGAGTCTTTTTTTTTTTCCTTTCACAAATACTCATTTGTAAAGTGCATATTTCTAAGACCTGTTCTGTAGAAAATTTTTGTGCATTTCTTATAAATTATTCTCTTTGGACTTGTAATAGTGACTATGGAAACTCCACTGTGAGTAGAGCAATGTGCTTTTTTCTCTCTTTTACATGTGGTTTATCTCTTACGCTGCCATTGCTGGATCCGTGCTTTTGGAGACTCTGCCTGGAGCTGGGACAGGCAGAATAGTTCAGTTTTGTCCAGCCTGGTATTGTCACAAAGGTCTGTGTATCTTTGAGGCTGAGACAGTGCCTTATTGACACCTTTGTTTTTCTCTTCTTTTACCGTCCATCTTCCATGCAGGAAGAAGGGAAGTGCAGACCCCTCCTCCTTGATGCTTCCCTGTTCATGGCTGTCTGTGAAGCAGAACTTATAAGCCGGTCTTTTCTGTCAGGACACAGTACAAGAAGGACATGGAGGTGCTGGAGCAGGTCCAGAGAAGGGCAATGAGGCTGGTGAGAGGGCTGGAAAACATCCCTTATGGAGACCGGCTGAGGGAACTGGGGTTGTTTAGCCTGGAGAAGACCCATCCTGGTCTTGAACACCTCCACTGATGGAGAATCTAGAACATCTCTGGGCAGCCTGCTCCAGTGTCTCACCACCCTCACAGTGAAGAACTTCCTTGCATCTAATCTAAATCTACCTTCTTTCAATTTGAACCCATTACTCCTCATCTTATCACTACAAGCCCATGTAAAAATTTCCTCCTCAGCTTTCTGGTAGGGCCCCTTCACATACTGGAAGGCCTCAATAAGGTCTCCCTGGAGCCTTCACTTCTCCAGGCTGAGAAACACCAGCTTTCAGCCTGTCCTCGTAGGAGAGGTGCTCCAGCCCTCTGATCATCCTTGTGGCCCTCCTCTAGACCTGCTCCAACAGGTCCACGTCCTTCTTGTGCAAGGGCTCCAGAGCTGGATGCAGTACTCCAGGTGGGCTCTCACAAGAGTGGAGTGAAGGGGGAAAGTCACCCTTTTGATGCTGTCCAGGATATTGTTGGTTTTTTTTTCTTTACAATGGCCAACTTTGGCCCACCTTTCTGCCTCATACCTCCAGATGACATACTTTGTGTTTGGTTCGAAATGGGTCACTTTTTTTCTTTTTAATGAACTGAATTGAGCATACCTCAAAGGTCCTCGGGCTTAAAGGAAGCTAGAAATCCCCTGTCAGCAGTCAGTACTTCAGGCTTCCTTGCACTTTCCAGCACAGGACTGATCCAAGTGGCATACATGACATACGACTTCATTCTGCATTAATTTTTTCATTTGAGTGAAAATACGTCCTGAGGAACAAACTCACACACTTATATATTTATTTTTTTGCAACAGGAGTTCTTGGTCACAAGTTCTCCTGATAAGGCTGACTTAACTACATTTTTTGGAAACCAGCACTCCCAACTTTAATTTGGACTGACATGGTAGATATTTAAGGATGCAGCCTCTTCTGTTCACTCCATGGAAAGAGAAGTGCTCTGTTTCTCCTTCACCTCCTGAGATACCACCTCAGACAGATAGTAGGCACCTTCCAAGCTTTAACCCCTCTTAACAATCCTGTGGGAAAACAATGTTCTGCTGCACACAGGGTGAATGCTGCTGGGACCTCAGTGCTGTGGTGGCAGGGGGGAGAAGCACCTTGCTAAGGATCAGGGCTGGAGCCTGAGCTTGCTCTGAAGAAATGGCTGTTTCCACTCTCTCCTGGAATCTGCTGCCTCTCCTGGCACTACACTAGCATCTTTTTTGTGCTTCCCACATCACTGAGACTTATCACCAGGGGGAAGGGGGTGAGAAAATGGGGGATTTACATGCAGTCTGAAAATCAATTTATTTATGAATGGTGGTCTGTGATTGTCCAAAAAATATGTTTTGCTGCAAGTGCACCTGATTATACTGGATCAGGAGAAGTAAATCACAAGTTCCCATTTGGTTTTTGTGCCTAGAGATAGATCTAAGATATGCTTGCAGCTTTTGCTGTTATGACAGTGCTGGGTCCAGATGCTCCTAATGCAGGATGTGTTCAGAGTGGAAACTGTCATTTCTGCTGCTAAAGCTTCCTTGCTTCCCTCAAATCCTCCTTATGAAACATGTCTACGAAGAAAAGCACAGGTTTTGCGGATATCACCAGCTCTACCAGGGGTCTTTGAATGACAGTTCTGTCTGGCAGGGATTTTGGCACCTCACTACTGTAGCTCTGCCAGCAAAAACATTTTAAGTTTCCTTCAATGTCAGCCTGGTTCTGAAAGCTCCATCTGTCTGCAGCTTTGTCAAATACAGGATTCCAGCTGTTTTAGAAATAAACTATGTATGCTATTTGGACGATATAACAGCTTTAAGAATCAGATTGTTGTCTTGATAATTTTTTTCCTCTCCTAGAGCAGTGACTTTCTCTCTGGGGAGTGTCCGAATATATCCTGTAACTGGAGGACAAGAGGTGGGAGCCACAGGAAAAAAAACTGTTCCCCTGCCATTGTGTTTGCATGTGCTGGTCTCTGACTATCGCACCCAAAAGCTGTCCGTCCTCTTCAGCTCCAAGATGAGTGTAGTGTATCCTTTGAGCCAATGCGGGTAGAGTTTGGGGTTCAGTTTTACTGAAAAGGAAAATGAAAATGTTGGGAGAAGAAAGTAAGTAGTACAAACTGTTTCATACTCCAAAAAAAACCCACCCAACTACCCCTGATGTTTAAGCACTGGGGGCTCCAGATAAATTAGAGAACACATAGTGCTTTTGTTGGGTAGAAACTGAGAGGATGAAAAGGGAAACAAACCTTTTTCAAAAAGAGGAAGGGCAGTGGCTTTGAAACACTTGAGGACCACAGTACTGGACGAATGACAGCTTGCACACTTTCTTTGTTGCTCTGAAATGGTTGTGTTTTGCATTGTGTGATGGAATGGGTATTTTGCTCCTAAAAGGCTTTGGAAACAGATCAGTATGTGGGGTATAGAGAGAACAGTAGGATACCAGGATAATGGTAACCTTTAAGGGGGGGGCCTAGGGAATGAGGCAGGGGTGTTCAGTGATGCTCCAGGGAAGAAGATTAGGAGCTTATTAGGAAAAAAATGAGCAGGAGACAAGGGAGAGCAGGTGCAAATGTTAGTAGAAAGCTTATGAGAAGAGGAACTACTGTGAGCACATTATGCACTAATAGAAATACTGGCAGATATCAAGTTTGTGGCTGTGTCAGTGCTTAAAGGACAGACCTGCCTGTAGTGATAGAAGTCTCTCTTCTGCTTGCTTGCTATGTACACTTGATAACCTCTGTCTGGGATTTTCCTGTTCTGCTAAAACTGCAGGAGGATGCACCGACCCAGACCCAGAGGCTGTGAAACATGGCATCAAGATGCCACATGTTCTGCCCTGTTTAACTTAAAATTGCAAAGGGCTCCACTGTTCTTAGAGACAGCATGGAGCAAAACGCTGCTGCTGAGCGAGAGGCTCTGTGCTGCCCAGTGGCCTTGGCCGTCCCTCCAGCTAGGGGCAAAAACACAGACCTGCTTTTAGGCTGAGTGTCACCTGAAAGCCAAGGAAAGCTGGAATTACATATCACTGCACCCAGCCGATGAGCAGGACACTGGGCTGGCATCCAGGAGGTGCTGCTGGTTTTGTGAGATGGGGAAAAGTGGGTACCAGGGGAAGGGTCTGTGGGAGGCCCATGTCCTTTCTGGTTGCAGAGATTTACACACAGGTGACAGAAAGAGCCCTCACCACGAAGCTCTAGGCTATTCTTAAGCAGCCCTCCTGTTGGGGCCGTTTCAGTTTTTGGACAGGAGTGCAGGTGCGAGGGCCATGCCCTTGGCTTCCCTCCACTCCTCTGCAGATGCACAGGGCTGCACGCTTGCGAGGCCATCCTGGTGGGAACAGGCAGCTCTTGGTTTCAGTCCCTGGTCCCAGGGCTTGTTTAACCCAGCTACGTGGAAGCAGGTCAGAAAGTTGCAATGGTGCTTGTCATCTTCCTTTCCTGGAGAAGGATGATTACTTTTTCCAGCACAATGGCAGCTGGAAAACAGGAAAACTGATAAGTGCTGTTGGCTGCTCCTTCCTATGCCTGTCCCTTCTGGAGGTCACTGGTTACCCACAGCTGGCTGCTCTGGAGTTTGCTTCTATTCTGCCTGTCCCTGAGCCCAGAGTCCATCAGCCTCCCCTAGTGCCCTGGGCCAGCACTCTGGTTTCTCATGGCCAGTTTGGTAAGTATGTGGCATTGTTTATTACTAGGGACTGAGCAGTACACAGTGCATTCCCAGCATCCAGGAGCTTGCATTAAAAAACAAACACAAAACAACACCACCCCAAACAACCCCCACCCATGTTTATAAACAACTGATGAAGTATTTTTTCTTCTTACCTCATATCTCCAGTGATTTACTGGGTGAATGCCTAGACCAGGCCCTCTGCATTGGGGCAGTTAGAAAAAGAAAAATCCATCTGCGTTTTGCCCTTTGCTAAACTTCTGGCTGAGCTGTTCTGACAGTGAAATTGAAGCTGTCTGGCCATGACCAGAAGCAGCACGTCATGCCGGTAATAAGCTTGAAAGCTGGAAGGGGAAAAAAAAAAAGAAAAAGAAAAAAACCCCCACAAACTAACAACAACAACAAAAAAGATGAAAAATTGCAGCACCACAGGAGTTTCCTGAATCAAGAGTGTGGTGGCTGCTGAGACAAGCTTTTAGTTTTACATGGGGGCTGAATTTAGCTACCAAAATCTTTGCACTGCTCTGGCTTAGTGCTGTGAAAGCGTGGCTTTAAGGAGCCAGTGTTCAGTGGCCAGAGGCATATTGATAGTGTGGCTGCTTGTTATGTGCTGGGGGCAGGAGTA